TTGTCATGTAGATGGCAAAGCTGTGCCGCGCAAGCTTGAGATTCGATAAGAAGCGGAAGGCTGAACTCGCTTCTCGGTGCAATGCTTAATTAATACCTCTTCTCAGTTGAACGGCAGCGAAACGTTGTTATTTATTTATATCGACTTAGTTAATTTTCAGCACAAAATCAAACAGCTTCGTTCATTACAACAGCGCCACCTTCATCCAATCTTCAGGATTGGAGCATTTTGTAAGTAACGAAGTCGTCTTTATGAAGCATTGAGACGTTAAATTATTGAAGTGAAACTATTAGAGACCGTCTACGCTGGCTAGGACGGTTTAACAGACGGGTGAAACGACCAGGTTCTGTTTTCATCATCTGGTTTTCATGATCAGGTGCTGGTTCTTGGACTTTCCAGCAAGCCAACCCAAGTTCCGTTTCAAAGAAACTTGTAAACTGAGTGTGTGGACCTTGTCCCGAGTTCTTAGCAATCGCTGAGCTGTACTGATCACTAACGGGATTGGAGAATATTGCCTTTTGACTTGGATCATTACAACACGAGAATAGCACAGGATATACTGTTCGACTGAAGCGTATGTAGGAGTGCAGAAGAATTTATGCTTTGCCCGTTAGCGGGCTTTAGTAGGTTTTAGCTTTCATTTTTAACTGGCCAAATTTCAAATTTAAGCGTCCTCTTTGTACTTTGGACGTTTCTAATATGTGGCCTCAGTTTAATTAATTAAATGATCTCTCACTGGACGGTTATTAAGCGTGTCGTGTTGTTAACCAACTCCAACTGTCCATGGTGAATTTTCACTTATGGGAGTAGTATGTAAATAACATGCGTATCCGTTTCAGCTGGGCTCAAATCGCTGTAGGTTTTGCGTAAAACGCATTAATGTGTGAGATGTTAAAAGACTATCACTTGATGACAGAATACCGCCAGTCTAAAATTTAAGCGCATTTAAAAATAAAAATTTTTATTAAATTCAAAACCGTTTTATCCAGCACCGTTCAAGCTCCTTCTGGCTATTATTAAAATGTAACTAACAAAAAGTTGTCAGTCTTCCATCAATTTGGGCCGCCAATTCTTCAACGACCCCATTGTTGTCAAAGTAACGTGTAGAGCACTGCTTCGAGCTTTGCGAGTTTCCGTTTGGTCAAAGAATAAGTCAAACACACTGTCCGAACTTGAAGCGAAGTCCTTGATAGGAAGGATCATGGTTCAGATTGCCGAGCCGATGTTTCGGTTGGTTGATTTTATATTTCAATCGATTTTAAATTGCTTCAATTATGTAATTTGGATACAGTATTGAACTTTGAGGCAACTCAAGCAGCTAGGTTGTTTGCTTAATTTTCAGTGAAGACCACACGTTTACAGCTCATTTTAGAGACTGGATAACTAATAAGGGTCAAAACACTTACCTATAACGTTTTCCTAATTTGAGCAAGAACGGATCGCATCGAAGATAACATTTTGATATTTGTCTCCGGAAGCACATCTTTTGTTCCTACACGGAAGAAGCAATTGTCACTCCTAAAATACACGTGTCGCTCTTTCTACTTAGTTCAGTTAGATGAAAAACGAGGAATGCGGGGAAAATGTGGATAGTCGAGGAGTGTGGACAATGCGCGGAGTGTGCACGCGGGAAATGATAATAATAATAATAAAAATAAATAAGTTATACAGCTGATCACTGGATCTTCGTATTAAGAGTTCTTTTTTTTTCATGAGGCCTTTATAGAAAATGATATAATCGCTGTCAATTTGCAGGGTGAATTTGTTCCTTACCTGAGCACCGCAGCCTTTTACGTTTTTAGAGAAGGGAATCTGTCTCTCCAGCGCACTTTTCAATCCTTTATTTTGTGATCCTGAAAGCGATACGCCACGTGACTGTTACAACTATTAAATAGAGAAAGTGCGTGGAGTTCCAAGATGCAAACTGGTCAAAGTCGGGCACAGTTTTTACTGACGAACTAACGCTATTGCAAAGGTGACAAATCATGCTGATTTTACACCGCGTGCATCAGTTTTAGACATCAAGCACCATCAGTACGTGCCTTCCAGAAAATTCCTTGTGCCACGTTTTGACGGTCGATCCTTCGATAAGAAGAATTTGTTGCCTTACAACAGGATTTAATGCTTTCTTGCCATATTATCATGCAACCAGCCCAAATTAACAGTGATAAAATTATCATATTATACTATATCTTGACGTTGTATTGACTGCGGAAACATCAGGACAAAATCTCGAGTTTTGGAGAACATAATTAAAGAAAAGATTCAGAATGGTTCTTCCGATGATGAAAATTTGACACTTGTTCATATTTTACACCGACACACAAGTAAAATATTCGGCATAATAGTGTACGTGATGTTGAAGAAAAAGGTCATGCACTCCCGAGTGATGTGTTTGCACACTTGGTGTATGAACAACTCCTCTTTTAGTTTACATTCAGTTAATCAGTGAACAGAAAGCATTGTTTGAACATTGAACATTGTTTAATCACAACGTGATCATAAGGGAATGAATAATTAAGATGTACTGTCAGATGTAAAGTAACTCGTTCTAAAACAGCCGCAACGAAGGCCAAAGATGATTTTATAAAAGTGCACCCTTTAATAGCTTCCACTATTAAACTGCAAGTTTTGGTTTGATAGTCATCTACAGCTGGCTTGATAATAATTCAGCTGATCAGTAGACTTCTATTTTCATATCACTCAAGGCCTTTATGGATTTTTACTATGACAATCCACTGAAATAGTCGCTGTGAGTGTAGTTTGATCTTTTATTGACATAGTTAGGGGGAAATCTCATTTCGGAGCTCGCTTTTCGATACTTCATTTTGTACTGCTGAAAGCCAATATTAAAAGTTAAGGAAGACCTGCAGCAAGAAATTAAGTTGGAGTTCTACGATGTAACGACCCTGATTTTTAATATTTACGATCAACTGGAATTATCATGAGATACAACTTCCGGTTACAATAAACTCCATGAGCCAGCACTTTTTAACATTTTTTTAAATGTAGAATTCGGTGGCACACAAAGGGTCGGTTAGCTATAAGGGTGTTTTGTTTTTTTGCCAAATTATTATCATTTAACCAGCACAACTAAAAGTTGTACTTTTTAATAAATACACCAGGACATCTCGAACAATTGATGAAAACGAATACACACAATATAAAGTTTTCACAAGGCATCACAATAGGGATAATAACATGTATTCACGATTTTGTGTTTTACCTTTTGTAAGCTTTTAGCACGTTTGAAGCGGTGTATGTGCGCCGAAAACTGAGATAGATAGAAAATGAAGAAGAGCAAGATGTATTTCGAAGTTGCTTTTTTTTTGTAGAGGATGGTAACCAACCCCAATCTCTTGTTTTGTATAACTTAACGATTGATAAAAAGGAAGTATTTTCGATTTCAAATACTTTCGTTTCCTCAAACGTGATAATGGCATTATCCCCTTGCCGTTTCTCGGGGTAAGAAAGAAATGAGTAGTTCAAGTTTTGGCTAATGGGCATACGCGAAAACAAATGGCCACTTAATTGCATCCAAATAGCAGGAAAATATGCTCTCACTGTTGTGAAAATTTCATTTTCAGCGCTTTTATGCAAATCGGCCCAAAAGGTAGATATGTTTAAAAATGCGGTTTTTCCGGTACTAGCTAGTGGTCGCCAATGAAAGGTTAGTGAGAAATAGTTTATGGTAGTCTGCATGGCAAACGTCGAAAGAAGAGGGGAGGGAGAAGGGATTGGATTTTCCCTTTCCACTTTTCTCCCCCTCCCCATCCCCCTCCTCTAACTGCGCTGCCACGCAGGTTAGTTTCTGGTCATTTTCTTTGCATATGTTACTATAGCAACAGGTTAACCAGTTTAAGGCAGCTCTCCACCCATCCCCACGAATTTAACCACTAAAATTAAGGGGCCATTCGACTTGTTTTTTAGCCATGAACTCCTAACGCCAAAATTAAGGGGTTTATACAAGTGGTCATACAGTTGCAATGGCAACCTTATACAGAACTTTCGAGAAAGGTTGTCGGACAAAATGTGCACGCAATAATCCCGAAAGGTAATATGGATATGATCAAAACACTGTTCCGGTTGACACTGAAGCTGTCGAACCTTACTTTTGTTGCTTTCCTTAAGGACTGGCAAACATACGCTCATGGCCTCTTGTGCCATTCTTTCAAAGTTCTCTGAAGAAAAGTGAACTCAAAACCACCTACATAACCTTTCGGGATTGTTGGGTGCACTTTTTCCGACAACTTTCCTCGAAATAGCTGTATGCCAATAGATTCAACGCAAACTGTCCCCCAATGATTAAGCATGCGTCATTGGAGAAAAAGTGCTTTTTATTTATTACACATGACGATTTTATATACAGTTCCTTACTTCATATACTTCCTTTCTCTCTCTCTTTCTAATGTCCTACATATGAACCCAACTGATGGGAAACATTTTTGCAGCTTTCAAATTAGAAATAAAGATTGCAAGATTTCAGCAAAACTTAAAACAATGCACTCAAGGTTTGACTCTTGAAGCAATATTCATCTATTATCTATTATAGAGGCCTTCTTAAGCCGGGCAGTACGCATGTCCCTAGTATGAATTTCAAAAGCGGTCATTTCGTATATTGATGAGGAGGCTGTCAGTATTTTACAATATTGTAATTGCGATTCTTCTTGTCATTGTCTCAGTTTCAACCTACCTTCATGTTGTTTGTCACCATTTTATCCACTGATGGATCCCTGAGGGGCCCAGGGGCCCGGCCCCCCACCCTACCCCCTTATCCCAAGGTCTGGACGACCGCTCCCTCCCCTTATCTGAAGGTCTCGATCGGCCACTGTTATCTGTCTCATGTTGCTGTTTCTTGGCCATGTCGCTTGTCAAAATTTTACCCTAACATGGCCTCATTATATAGAGTATTTTTTGCCCGTAATATTATTAATGTTATGATTACAATTCCTACTCAGCAAGTTTACAGGGTCATGGTCATCTTAGCATCTCATCTTGTGGAATTGGGAATTGCAAAAGAAGATATTATAGTAGGCTTACTAAGTCAGCGTGGCAAGAACTGACCCCACCCTTGAGGGGATGAGTTTTCCGTTAGAGGTTTCATGTTGTTCAGTCAGATGACTTGTTCGCATAACACCTTTGCGCTGCTCCAATGATCTGAATGCCTGGAACATGCTAACATAACACAGTCACACTGTCCTAGCCTTTCAGTCAAGAATAAATCAATCTGGTTGACATTCCAGTAATAAATCCATGTTTACTGACATTCCACTTGTTACATACATCTGTCAAAGGTCTACCAGCTATGAACACTTTGGTTTTAACTTCAAGTCAGTAGCAGAAAGCTGATGTAATAACTCAGCTATTGTATCAGCAGCCTCTGTTGAAGCAGGTTCTATGTCTTTATCAGTGATGCAGCATTCAAATGCACCAAATGTCTCACATGATTTTGGATCCAACAGGTGAATAAACGGCAATAAAAACATTGTCCACAAAGCATTTTCTTTTTCAGGGGAAGATGATGGCATCACCTATGAAAAAGAAAAGTTCAAGATTACAAACTAGTAATAACCAAAGTTAAGTGAATGCAGGCGAGATTAATACAAAAGCTCTTGCTCCAATGCTGTGCTTTGAGTAAGTTTCACGTAATGTACAGTAGTGCATAAAATCACACTTGATCAAATTAGAATGACAGAAGGTCCAAATGTGTCTGATCATGATTAGATGGCATGCAATGCATTTCATTCACTCCTCCTTAGTCGAAATCAAAACAAATGCTACATAGTTACATGCTGGCTATTATAGCAACCTTGAGATTAAAATTGCGAGCTCCCCTGGGGGTCCACCTGAAATAATTTTTTTCAAAATGTTTAAAACTCTGTATCACACTTGCGACTCTTAGACTGGACCAAGAGCACAAGCGTAGGTAGGTGCATGAGTTGACTTGGTGCTAATTAAGGTTGCCATGTAGATGTAGTAATGATATCCAAATAACCCCTTTTTAAAGGGCCAAAACTAAGGATTCAAGAATTTCAAAAATGTGTTGATTTAAAAAATGGAGATGAGACATGGAAGAAGACTTACCTTATGAAGCCGGTGACAGTGGATGAGGCCATCAGTTCCAACTTCAAACACAGAAAAGCCATCCAAATACCTAGATGAAAGCCAGAGATAATTAGACACTTTTAAAAGAATGTACAGCAGCAAAAAATAACATAAAATAAATAAATAAATAAATAAGACGCTCAAAATTAGTGATATTTACGACAACCAAGCAATTCTGGGATAGAGTATTAATTAACTAAAGCCAGTCTAAAACACACTCAAAGTTTTTCACATCAAACTAGTGTCTGGGTAATTTTTTAATTTTGATAATGTTTAAATGGTTCCATTTAATGATGGAAATCTTTTAGCAATTCAAATCAAAATTTACCTATAACCCTCACTGCTGGCCTTTAATCTCCTGCCAATAAATGGAACAGCTTTTCTTAACAGTGGAATTCCTTTAATTCTCCAGCGTACTTTGATTGTTCCTTCATTGGGATGTTTTGTAATTTTTAACACTTCCATGGACAGCTCTGACATGCAGCTTAAGATCATCAACCTCAGGCCACTTATCTGAGCTCTGTATGGATAAATTCCACTAATGCAAAAAGGAAAAAGTATACAGGAAATGAAATTAACATCAAAACAAACCTCGCTTTCACCTAAACTAATGAGAGAATTTACCGCTGGAGGATTTTTAGATGTTTCAGTGAATGACCGCTTTTTTTCTACAAAAATGTACATGAAACTCTGCAGAAAAGATAGTTGCTTCCCAATCATTAGCTGTTTATGTTTGATGAAGCCCTGAATTCATAATATAATTTGGGCCCAATAAATCAACTGAGTCAACTAAATCAACTTAGTATTAACCAATTGTAACATTATCATCCAAAAATCTATTAAGTACACCAAATCTATTAATTACACCAATTAACCAAGCTCATAGCCTGAATCAGTCAATACTGCCAGTACTTCCTTTGATTAACAGTAATTATAATCGATTAAAAAGTAACTTTAGAGCTGCATGTTGCATACAAATAACACTTGCACTACAGTGTACATTAAGTGTTCCAATTAAGCACAATGACAAACCCAAATTTCGCTTCTGGTACACAAATTACAATCATAACACAAAAAAAGTTGTGAGGATACTTACTGTGTTGTGGTTCCCATTATATTGTTGACAAATTTCACTCTTTGATGATAAATACTGTAACTTGGCTTTTTCAGAAAAAATTCTGGTATCTATCAAAAACAATAATAAAATAAAAATAATAAGCATTGATAAACTTTCTGCTCTGAATGGGGTCACCAGCTTAACATGGAGTCTTGTGCTTCTTGTAGGGCGCACCACACTGGAGGTCAAAGGGTAGAGACCAGACAAAGAGAGACCCATTGGTCCTCCAGGTTGGAGGTTTGGGTATAGGGCTAATGACCATGCCCCATAACAAAACTAATAACAAATTAGTTTTTTGCAGTTTTTCTTGCTACAGAAACCAGAAGCATTGATAATGAGACAACGCTAACTGCAACAGAGAGCGAGTGTTGGTCAGAGAACACGACAGCCTTATGCACCTAAGGGAGACAAGAAAGGATGATGATGATTCATGAACTTCACAGTTACCTCAAATCAGACCCATACCGAGGGAAGGAAAGATGGACCCATTTAGTCATCGAGTTTCAATAACACAGCTTCAACTTGTCCTATTTGTTAGGTGTATTTCCTTTTATTTGCAGTCAGTCCGGCATAAAAAAGTTTAACTTCCTAGCCCCTTCCACCTCCTTACTTAAAACTACTGCAATGTGATGAATGTTACATACAGCACCCAAGTCAACACGCTTCAAGATTAAGACCAAGTACCACCTCCCCTAATTCTTGGGTATTTTGAACAGTCCAACTACCAGGCGCAAGGGAGTATCTGATTGGCTGAGATGAAAAAACATATCAATAATTGTTAGTTAATATTAGATGTTAGTAGATATATCTCTGGTCTCTCCAAAGAGAATGGTGTGTTCATGTAGAAATGAAATGAAGTTGAGCAAAATAAATTTAATGTACTAGGCACTAACTTCACCAACATTTGCAGGATGTTGATTTCTCCCATTTTGCCTGTAAGTTACCCACACTTTTGTGTTAAACCCCTTTCCCTGATAAGCTAATCTAATAGTTCCAACAAAGGTGAAAAAAGTGAGCAGCATTTCATAAGAATTGCAGACAGGCTTTGCTCCGCCACCAAGAAAGGACTATGCATATATGATAATCCCGCCAGCTACAGACGCCAAATCTGTCATTTTGGAGACTTCTATGATAGAGACACCTCTTTATTACAGACAGTTCTCTTGGTCCTAAAGTTGCCAACTTTATACGATCCCTACATCTATAATATTGACACATCTGTAATGCAAACACCAGGCTCTGTCCCTTAGGTGCTATATTAATGAGGTTTCCCTATATATATATTGCTATACTTGTACCTCATCCCTGAGATCAAGTAACACAGAAGATAGCTGGGTAGGATCTGGTCCAGTCTTCAACACTTTTTTCTTGCTTGGGTTTTTTGTGTCTTCAGAAATATCTGCAAATAACTTTGCGGCCTCTGAAATAAGGTCTCTTTGCAAACACCCAGAGTGAGAAGTTTGGAAAACCTGTTGGTGGTTTTCTTTAGTTTGATGCAACTGTGACATTTGTTGAGTAGTTACCATAGGTATATCACTGGAGTCTGACTCTGTCCGCTTGTTCTCCACATTTTCTACTAATGAATTTGGCAAAGTCTTCTTCTCCTCAGGGGTTGAATTTAGAAGAGTTCCCTGATGAAGAAAAGAGGCTTTACCAGTGATTCTATCCTGCTCAAAAACCATTAAAACCAACTGCTTGTTATCCATTAATGGGTCACAATTCCATTGTTTCAATAAAGATTTGTCTTGTGCTTTCTCATGTACGTCAAGTGGTCCAACACTTTTCCACAAAGCATTTACTGCTTCATATGTCTGGCTCTTTTGAAAGACTGTTTTCTTTCTGGAAGCAGGGAAATACAAATGCCCATTAACATCTTTGGTTTTCTTTCCTGAAGTTCGCTTCAGATCACTTCTGTTTTCCTTATGAAGCACAAAAATGCATGGTTTTTGAGCCTACAAAAAATAATATAATAAAATTTTCAATGAGAAGGAGTGAGTAACTTAAGAGAAAAAAATTAATTATTATATTAAAGATACTATCAACTTTCAAGAAGATCATACGACAACTCCGATGAACAATCCAAGATCATCAATAATTAACTAAAAAATGCGACAAGACGTGAAAGGCTCAAAATGTTGTTTACAAACATAGGTATTATATATATAAATCTGTGATTTCTTTCTTCCCTCATTCTCCACTAACTGGAGTGACAATATTTCACTGATATTTTTAAGCTTAACTTAAAGCTTAAGTGATGGCGGAAATGCAGACTGATGCAAAAAAAGATTACCACGCCTAATTTAAACGAAGCTGCAATCTTTCTACATGAATTACAGAGAACATGCCATCACTATATAAGCCCTTAATTATCTATTTCAAAAGTTGTACATTTCATACATGAGTAAATAAACACAAGGTACACACGACGTACATTGCACGGTTGAATTGCAAGCTGTGAATGCGTGTAGCAAATGACAGTCGATGGTGGATAAATTTTCAAGTATTTGCTGAGGAATCTTGGAGATTTATGAAGATTTGAGACTGTCAGGGCCATTCTGTATCCTAGATCGAAGCAACATAATGCGTAAACCCTCCTCCAGATATGTTCTTTACATGTAACAACATGGCGGTTTTCCATGTGACTGGACGACGCAATAACAAAAGCCAGCGGGCAAATTTATTTACACATGCGCTCTCGAAGGTTTTGTTAATTCCAATATGGCTGCCGAATCGCTGAATGAAGAAATAGAGTATGTAAAATTATATAGGATTAGGCCCATTTTGCTTCATTTTTATTTAGCACCGTTTATACCAATCTACTTAACATGGCTCTACTTTTGGACGGTCGTATATGGCGTGACAGATTATTTTGAAGCTGGTCTTATCGCCTTAGCCGCTGTGGGTCTTCTTCAAATTCTTTCTTGCTTGTTCTGTCATTGGTCTGTCCACGTGCGATGTTTCTTCACATGTTCAGGGGTAAGGAACAAAAACAAAAAGCTTAGTTCTCCTCTAATTTAGGATAGGATATGACCTGTCAATAACTTTATAGAAACCAAAAATAAAAACGACTCAACATGATATAATATAATTTTTAATACAGATAACCCTAAGATTTCTAAAATGCAGTGAATTCAGGATTTAGGGCTGCAAATATCTTACGAGGATGAATGATAAAATCAGTGCAAAATGCCAGTGTTATTAATATAAACTTAAGACAGACCATTGTAAATTTTTATAAAGGTCTGTCTTTATACCCCACCGATACTCTTATTACATTGCCTTTACTTGTATAAATGAACTTAACTTGAACTTAAATTATTTTACCAATGTTTAACCAATTTTATTTAAATAAGGATTATTATTTTGAGATAAATGGTAATGAGTTTGATTTTTTTTCAACAATGCACATCTTGTTGATGTTTCGCATGGGCCTTGAAAAGTCCTTGAATTTTTTCACAGAAGTCCATGAATATTTTTGAGAGCTCCTTGAATCAAAATAACCTTGTTAAAAAAGTGTTTTGCAAAAAGGAAAGATTGAAAGCACAACAACATGCAAATTTTCTTGGTGATCAGGAAAGTGTGTTTTCTTATGATTTCATTGTCCCTGGCATAGTTCATTTTCTTTTTTTTGAAATACCCTAGGAACTGTGCCTTCCTAGTGGAAGGTATTGCAAATTAGCAAATCCCCCTCCACCTATGAATTTGAAAGATCTTTATTTTATGTCATTCCATGTCAAATTACAAGGAAAAGAAGTCCTTGGAAGAATTATCTTAGTTCTTGAAAAATCCCTGATTTCCCCCCAAAAATTCTTTATGAACCATGTTCTGTGATCATCAGTGAATAAAGTAATACATATGTTGTAGTTAATTTTTTATCTCAGGTAATTTGTATTTTTTCTTTCGTTTCAACTTCATTAGCACACATTACCATACCCAAAAACAAAAGAAGAACAAAAATTACCTGAGATAAAAAATTAGCTACAGCATATACGTTACATAAAATTTTGGGCTGGTTTTAAATGAACTCATTTAGTCCAATCTGCCATAGCATGCCAGCTGCGAAGTGACTTTTTAAACTAGTGAGCACTAAAAATATGCTAGTACAGTGAAAGCTCTTGTGAGCAGACACCCTTGGGGCGCAGAAAGGTGTCCACAACTGTAGCTGGCCACTTACAGAAATGTAAAGTTTGCAGAGTTTGTATTGGAGTTTTGAAAAACAGGAAATTGTGAAGGTAGCCATAGGTAGAACTGTCCACTTGAGAGAGCTTCCACTGTATTAATTTACATGGAGAATAGAATATCTGTCACTTAATGCCTTGATAAGACTGAGTCGATCATCATTCCTAATTTATTTCTTTATGATGTTTAGTTATAAGACATTTAACTGAAATAGATACTATGTTTCTCTGCCAAAGGAAACATCTCCAGATCTTGCTACAGTAATAAAAGTTGTTCCAACTGCAAACAATGGATCACCAGAGCTGCTAAAGCTTCACCATGAGCAGGTCAGTGTATTAGTGTTCTCTATGAATTATTTGGATGCCTCTGTAAAGGCTGGTTTTCACTAGTAACAGAGTTGGAGTCGGAGTCGTAAGCAGAGTCATAAGTGCAATGGAAGAAGAAGAAGAAGAAGAAGAAGAAGAAGAAGAATCAGAATGTTTCCAGATTGTCGGAGTCGGAAGCAGAAGTGGAAGGATAAACCAATCACAGTGCACGTTCCCACGCTTTGTGATTGGTTTAGATCTTTTGCTTCCACTTCCGACTCCGACAATCTGGTTTTCACTAGATCATAAGCTCCACACTTCTGATTATGACTCCGACTCTGACTCTGACTCCGACTCCATCGCTAGTGAAAACCAGCCTTAAATGTATGGACACTTCTTTTGGTCCGAAAGAAACCATATTTCATACCATTCCTCCCACTAGGATAGAGACTCCTATGTAATACAGACACTTGAGTCAGTCCCGTTGGTGTCCACAGTACATGCTGTAACCCTTTTTGTCCCAAGAATGACCAACATCAATTTTCTCTTAACAACATCAATACATAATTAAGAGAAACAGTTATGAGAATTGATAAATGATCATCATCCTTTAACAAATTATCTCAAATTTTTTCTAAGGAGGTGTGTGGAGATCAATCAGGAGAACTTGTGTATTGATAATGAAGTTAGGGCTTAAAGGTTTAAGTAGGCCTGAATTTACTAATGAAAATTTCTGGTGTTTCATTTTCTTCTATTCACTTGGGCAGTAAGTATGGCATGTAAACAATCAGTGTAAGAAAGAGTAATTTTACTCTAGCTGATCTGGCGCAACCATTACCGGTATAAAATATTAACAACCAACTTAAGTACTTCTACATTGATATTATATCTTTCAGGATAAAGAGACAAAGAAGAATATTATATGGTTTAATTTTCAAAAGACAAAGTATGTTTTTGATAGTGAAGAGAAGAAGCAGTTCTGTCAGGTAGCTTTTCCAATCAATGAAAGTATAGAGCATTACAACAGTTGTAGAGGATATCAGGAAGAAGCTGATGTTGAAAGAGCAAAAAGAAAATATGGAGTGAATGAGTAAGTGCTTTTCTTTAAAAACATATCTTAGATGTCTTTCACTTCATCTGCAGTGCTTCTGTGTTTTATGACACTGATTTAATCTATTAAATTATCATGAAAAAAGGCATTTTCAGAAGTGTACATCTCTACTGTGAAAATAATTTGGACAGAATTGTTATGATAGTTATATCAGTTATTCTGATCAGATTTTAACAAACAGGGACTATCAATAAACTCCCTTTAAAAAAATTATTCGTGATCTAGCTAAATGCTTTAAGCCCAACTAAACTGCATACATGTAAACTTGTCATTAAGGGCAATTTTTGGCCAGCATATTTTAGCAGTTATCATCTTGGTCAGCAGTATCTTCCCACCCCACACAGGACCCAAACACAACCAATGCAATACTTGTAAATACGAGCAAATCATTTTTTATATGTGATGAATTGTATATCTTTTGTCATGATCATTATTAAACATTCTAGGGTTCAGATGGATGTACCTGAGTTTTGGGAACTATTCAGAGAAAGAGCTACAGCACCATTCTTTGTGTTTCAAGTATTTTGTGTTGGGTTATGGTGTCTTGATGAGTACTGGTATTACAGTGTCTTCACCCTGTTCATGTTGGTAGCATTTGAAGCCACTCTGGTGCAGCAGGTAATCTTTTCTCCATCTCCACCATAAGGTGTCAATGTTGAACCTATGATTACTTTTTTAGTAGAATGGGAGTCACAGCGTGCAAAGAAAGTCTTATCCCATAGACCGGGGCTCCTGGATTTTGGGATTGGGCTTGTGAATTCTGATCTTAACTTGCTGACAAGCAAGTGAAGTTTTTTAGGGGAATTCAAATGACAGCAATACCGTAAGACAAATTGCATAAATTCGTAACAGGTTCTTGTGGATTAAAAGCTGTTTTTTAAGCTGATCGGACAAAGTGAAATTATTATATTTATTTTAACAGTCACTTAATAAAGCAAGTGATTAATTAACAACTTTTGTAAATTGATCAATAAATAATAATACAATAATAATTGTGAGTATAATGAAAGTAAGTGTTCCTTGCAGATTATTCTTTGGAGAAATGGTATAAGTTGTCCCATAACAGACCTTTTTGTTCTATAATATGACCTCCAGGAAATTCTGCATACAGTAATGTGTTGGGTCATTAGTAGTCTGATCTGATCTTCACTCTTAGACTTGTTCAGCACATGATTGGCTGGACTACTACAGGTTTATTTCTCATTGTTTGACAAATGGTCTTCCCCTCTTGCTTTCAGCAAATGAAAAATATGAAGGAAATAAGAAACATGGGAAGTAAACCATACTTGATACAGGTCAGTTTCTAATATTAAAAATGATAAAAAGAATTTTTTTTACTAAGTATTAAAAACTGTTATATTAGTTAGTAAATGTTGTCGATATGTCAATAATTTTAATTATGTTCAATAACTTATCAAGAATACAACTGAAATTTTCCTCCTTTTTCCAGATTAGTTACCAAAATTTGAGACAAAAAATGCAGTTTGAAGTCCTTTTCACCTGAAATTCTTTGTGCAAATAACATATACATATAATTTTATAAGCTATTGATTTGGTTTCAACCTTGTACAGTAATAGTAATACTATTGTTAATTCATAACATTGTGAGGCAGCCTCCGTCCTGCAGATACATGTAAGAAATGCCTGTGCAAAATAAGCAAGTATGCCCTAATTTTTATATATTTCTGATGCACATACAACAGGTGTACAGACATAGAAAATGGAGACCAATTTTGAGCTCTGAGCTTCTTCCTGGTGACATTTGCTCTATAGGTAAGATGAAATTAATTTTGTTGATGACCTTTTCTTTTGGGAAGGGGGACAGGAGAGTTTGTTGATATCAGTGTGTTTGTGATGGTCTGTTATTTAATTAATGTTATTTAATTAGCTCTGCCATATTTCCTATGACCTCTTTGAAGTGGTTAGAAAGGATGAATGTGAAAATGTTCATGGCTTTCTCACAGCACAAAGGTGTGATCTTCTGAACTGAGACAAGGTCACAGCTAATTAATATGATCTTACTACCCGGAAAAAAAACTATCCTGTAGGTAAGTATTAATTAGGGAGAACAATAAAAAAGTGGACAGAGATTTACCCACTGGTTAGTGCTATCCACCATTTGATCAGTGGCAGGTGCCTGGTTTCTGGTCAAGTAGTTGACTGAACTTGCATCCTCTTCGCAATCTACCAAGTTGGGTAAGCAGGTTCAAGGTCACAGCTAATTAATATGATCTTACTACCCGGAAAAAAAACTATCCTGCAGGTAAGTATTAATTAGGGAGAACAATAAAAAAGTGAATAGATATTTATCCAGTGGGTAGTGCTATCCACCATTTGAACAGTAGCAGGTGCCTGGTTTGTGGTCAAGTAGTTGACTGAACTTGCATCCTCCTCGCAATCTACCAAGTTGGGTAAGCAGGTGGTATTTTTGCTGCTTAGGCCCCAGTTATTCAAAAGCTGGATAGCGCTGTCCATTGGATAAATCATTATCACTGTGGATAAGTATTAAGGAAACCAATTGGGCCTATCCACTAAATAGAGATTTATCTTGAGGATAGCATTATCCAGCCTCTAAGCAACTGGGGCCTGGTGTTTTTATAGTTATCTGTGACACTGCAACTAAATTCTAAGGGGGTAGTATAGCCCAGTTTCTTAAGTAGGAAATGGCTAAATGATTGAAAAGAAGTTAGTATAAATACAATGGTACACTGAAATATCACATTTCCACTTTCATAGTAATAAATTATTATGTCTTGATAATGCTACTATTAATAAAATCATCTCTCTTTTTCTCTGTTTACTTCCAGGGAGATCTAAGACCTCTGATGTGCTTATTCCGTGTGATATGGTGTTACTGCGAGGTTCCTGCATTGTTGATGAAGCCATGTTGACTGGAGAATCTGTGCCACAGATGAAGGTAACAAAAATTTCTTTTAAAAAGCCAAGCCACTGCAGACCTTGAAATACTGTTTGAAATTGCTGTAAGAAGGAAATTTATTATATAGACACAGAAACTACCAATAAAATACCAGGTGAGCTTTCGCGCGAAAACTTGATATCTTCACATGTAAAAATAACATGTTATCTTCACATGTGAAAATATCACCGTTGCTATGACTACATAATAAATCGCGTCTTTCACACCAAAAAACTATTTAAGTATTAAAAATGGTTTGGTATTTCATTGGTGTTTATATAATAAATTGCGCGAACGAGTGAAATATTTTTTCAACATGAGAATAGAAATTTTGTATCTCCACGCGGCCAAGTAATATCCTCTATTTATATACTAGAAGGAAAAAATAAATGTGTGGAAATTAAACAAATACCTACCCACTTTGTCCTGTAACATGAAACCTGTTGTGCACAAACACCTCTCGCAAGTGATCATCTGTAAAAATACTTGCCTAGTCTCAGGTCTTCTCATTCAAGTCATTGCAGTGATGAATAGGAGATAGACATGACCCAAAATGCATAGGCCACATGGAAAAATGGGACGGTACAGTATATTCTTAGGGAGGAGTCATTTGCAGCATATGCATATTATAGCCATCACTTTTGTTCCCTACTAGCAGAGGTCTCTCAGTTTTGCCTCGTCATGAGAGACCTCTGCTAGCAGGGAATCACTTTTGCCACTTTGCCATGATTTTGTTTTTAAGCTTAAACCCTTCCACATGTAATTTAATGGAATTCAGGGCCACAGTTTTTTTGTGTATGGCAAAATTAAAAAACTAGTTACACTGTTACATGTATGCTTGTACTACATGAGGTCGAGTACATGAAATTAATTCAATTTTTGTGTGAATGCAATCACTACAGGAACCTATTGAAGATGTACCAGGGGATGATGTTTTTGATTTGGACCAACACAGTAAATTACATGTGCTTTCTGGCGGGACAAAAGTTGTGCAGCATTCTCCTCCTCTGAAGAGTTCTTCTGGACTCAAAGGTACGTAAGATGTTTTTATAGTCTGCTCTGACATTACAGAATTAAGGTTAAAGCCCACTGAAATGGTACAACTTGAACACAATGCGCTGTGTAATTTAGCAACCTGTATGATATGTTTGATAAGCTTATGACATGCAGTAGAGTTGTACTTATGTACTAATTAAATAATGGCAAAAGTACACTGAAATGTCAGTAACAATTGTTCGAAAAGGTTTCAATGAAAGCTGGTTACAGGCAGTCTACGACTGCCTACAGGGCTCTTGCTGCCTTCTGTTAAGATTCGTTAAAAAACAACAACAATGACAACAGCAACAACAACATGTTCTGTGGTCAAGAACTCTTTTTTTATGGAAATTTCATTGCAAGGTGTTAGATGTGATTTGGGTGGGGGGCTGAAGTGGGGTGGAGTATGCCCCCAGACCCTCCTAGCAAATCCCCTTAATGGGTGGGAGTCTCTTATCCTACCATCGGCAACCGTTTATGTAAAGTCTAAAGTCATTATTGAGTAGTACATGTATTTTGTTTCTTTTTCAAAGGTCCTGACAATGGATGTGTGGCTTATGTCTTAAGAACTGGATTCAATACTTCTCAGGTCAGGAAGTGAATAAAAGTAACATTTTGGCAAATTCAGCCATATTTGATTAAGGAAATACTGCCTTAAATCCTCTTTTAACCCCATGGGACTCATTTATTTCAAGCACATTAGAATAATGTGCTTAATAATTTTCTCCTCCTGAAAATGGGGGGCTTATTAGAGATTGGGTTTTAAATACCGGGTTTACGGTGTGTGACTGAGATTTCCTTCATTACAGTTTCGATGAGGAATACACAACTCTGGACTGATTTTTCTGTACATTCTCTTCTTATGTTTTGTGTGTTCTTTTTCCCCTTTTTGAAGTAATTACATTGTACATATAGTAGTTCAAATAAATGTGTAATAAATTGGCATTGAAAAATTTGTTTGTTACTTTAACAGGGAAAGCTTCTCAGAACAATTTTGTTTGGTGTGAAGCGAGTCACAGCCAATAATCTGGAGACATTTCTCTTCATCTTGTTTTTGCTTGTGTTTGCTATAAGTGCCGCAGCATATGTTTGGATTAAAGGTAAGGGAATTTCCACACAGACCGTCCTTCATAGCAGCAATTTGTTGAAACATTCTATACATACTTCACGCTTGTGCAAAAACCTGGTTTGTGACTGATCTTCATGAATGTGGAGCTCAATATGCAAAGAAAGTCTGGCCCATAGCCCAGGGCTAGTGAATTTTGCTATCAGGATGGTGGATTTTTGTTTTTTATATATTACATTTTTTACAATTCAGGTACTGAAGATCCCAAGAGAAATCGCTATAAGCTATTCTTGGAGTGTACTCTGATATTGACCTCAGTGGTTCCGCCAGAACTTCCCATTGAACTGTCTTTAGCTGTCAACTCATCTCTGATGGCATTGCAGAAACTTGGTGAGGCTAAGTAAATTTAGTCTCCTTCGTGGCTGTTTTTAGGGTTGTTGCGTGACGACCCAAAAACAGGCTGCAAAGCAAACTAAAGTAACTTACATTAAATTGTGTGTGTCTGTTCCATATTTAAAGTTACATGAAAATGCAATTCTTTTTCTTTTAAGTGTTTTTTTTTTTCTTTGCATGGTGTAGGGTAGTGTCAAGGCCTTGCTAATCTTACAGACACGTCCCCCTTCCTCACTCCCTCCCCCATCTCTTACCGCTTTCAATTCCTGCCATGCCGGCTATAAACTCACAGAAACAATAAGGTGTCTGGCCAGTCAGGGTATCGCGTGTTTGGCAAACAAAGTTGAACCGTTTTTAAATACGTTAACCAGCTAATATTATTCCAAATTTCATCTCTTTTTCATTTGATATAACCACCTTTCTGCTAGCCCGCGAGCAAGCTCTCCTATTTTAGCAAGTGAAGCGAGCCTCGCGAGAACGCGCGAGTGAGGGGCCCCTCGCGAGAGCTTTCTCGCAGGCTACCTTTCTGCCTTTCAGTGACCTCGGTCTTTCATAGCTTATTAACTCTTTTATGATTTGTTTTCTGCAGGGGTGTACTGCACAGAGCCTTTTAGAATTCCGTTTGCTGGTAAAGTTGATGTATGCTGTTTTGACAAGACAGGAACCTTAACAAGTGATGATCTTATAGTGCAAGGTGTTGCTGGCCTCAAGTAAGTATGGTGCTCACAGTGTGGATGACTTCTCCTAAAATGTTCTACACTCGGTATCGGATTTAATGGAGCTTTTTCGTTAGTTTAATAACTACACAACAATTCAATAACCACACCAGTAGTTCAATGACCACACGTTAGTTCATTGAGCGTAGACTACATACAACTGCGGAACAAATAGCCTCAAATACGTACAAATGTGTGACAGGTTTGAACCCAGGAGTCATTTCAAAAGTAGAATGAGTTTGATTGTCTGGGTGAACGTGGTCCTGAATAGGACTGTTGTTGTTGACAGTGACTGACGTTTCGACAACCTGTGCGGTAGTCATCCTCAGAGTCAAAGTGAGTTGTATAACGTCAGTTGATGGTATTATACTCCGGTTATTGATCTGCTTGATCAATTACGTCGCGATGTTATTGGTCGTCTGTCAGTTAAGCCGTGGTGTTATTGGCTAGGAAGACTCGTAATCAGTAACTGGTGCGTTTTGATCGATCTAAATGTGTAGCATCGGGTGAGTGGTAATAACTCATTTAGCGATGACACAAAAACTAAATTGAGAAATAGCTATGGTGCACTATCCCCTTTAAATAAACTCAACCGTAAACAGTGCTAAGAATAAAACTCAAGAAATTCGTGTGAAGCTCCATCGGGGTCAAATGTCTGAGGCGGCTTTTGTTTTATTTAGGCGAATTTATAGAAACATGGACATGGGTTTATAAAATAATTCGTTAATGGAACTATCTTTTCAACTCTCTTAAAATTATGAACCTCTTTTTGTTCTTCGCCAAGAGCTGAGAAGGACAGCAATAATCTGCGTATTGTTATAGTTTTGCTTGTGGATTTTCAGTATTATCCTTTTTATTCGCAGAGATGACGATGAAGTATGTGCAGTTACTGATATTCCTGATGATACTGCGCATGTGCTGGCCTCGTGTCATTCGCTGGCTTTCCTCGATGACAGTTTAGTGGGTGATCCTCTTGAGAAAGCCGTCCTTCAAGCTGTGGACTGGAGACTAACAAGAGGTGAAAAAGTTAATCTCCTAATCTTAATCTCGGACTTAAATCCCCCGTCTCACAACCTTTGCATATACAGCTACTTCGAGAAAGCGCGCGAAAAAAGTGCACGCGACTATCCCGAAAGGCGCTGTGGGTGGTTTTGAGTTCACTGTTCTTGAAAGAAATTTGAAAGAATGGCGCGAGAGGCCATGTCTGCGAGTGCTAAAGGAAAGCAACGAAAGTAGGTTCGACAGCAACAGTCGTCAGGAACAGTGTATCGATCATATCCCATATTACCTCTCGGGATTGTCGTGTGCACATTTTTTCCGACAACCTTTCTCGAAAGAGCGGTATAATTTCTGCGGGACTTTTAAGAACCCACACACTGTTCGTAGAAAGCAGGGGGCGTAGTCCCCGGTGACGTGGTGTACCTCGTATTCACGCTCACTTATTTGTAAACTGTTCCATGAGCAGTCTGGCAAAAAACAAAAAACAAACAGTGTTCTAAATTATCCCTGAAAGGCCTGTGAAGAGAATGAATGATAATATGATGTTTACAATTTCTAACCTCCTTTATTGATAGAGTAGTGCGCTCGCTCTCGAAATTCTGTTTCCTTCAAGGTCCTCTATGATCGGCTGTTGAAATCCTTCTATTCTACTTTTGGGTGTTTATTTAAAGGAAAGCGCTTAGTTAGTATTTTTAGCCTCAAAGAGGGTAATAATTCAAAGACTGGTTCACTTATTTACGTTATACAGGTGTTGTCTCGGCTAGTTTTCAACTAAATTTGCCTTCACCTTGTTTTGTTTGAATTTCAGGCGATATCGTGATGCCAAACAAAGGAAGGCGTGTCTCTATGCGCATCGTTCATCGACATCACTTCTCGAGTGCGCTCAAAAGAATGTCAGCTATTGTGTCGTTACAGAATCCCGGTTCGTCCACCAATGAATATATTGTAACTGTGAAAGGAGCTCCTGAAACCCTTAGATCAATGGTGAGTGGATTGAGCAAAATATTTTGCATTTTTTCTCTAGTGGCGGCAGTAAATATAGAGAGGAGAAGTCGTTATGTCACGTTGCCATCGTAGCAAAATTTCTAGGTCTCAAAGAAGCCGTGGTCCTGTAAATATGGCAGAAAAAAAGAACGAAAAAAATGGCTTATATGACTTTCGTGTGAATGAGTGCACTCAGGAACAAAACGGTAGCCCATACTTGGCTGTCTCTGTCAAGACGATTGTCGCGATCCAGAAATTTTGCTACCATGGTAACTTGACGACACACTTTCTACTCTATTGACCATATTTAGGTTACACTTGGGCCTGGGTCGGCGTTGTGGCGAATTGTGCTGTGGGACTGTTTTGGGGGACAAATTTTGACGTAGTTTCCCGCTCAACTTCGTAATTATCCGATGAACAGCCGTTTTTAAAAAAACGGCTGTGTAGCAGACTATACCCTCATATACAGCTGTTAGAAACATTCGTTGTCACAGTATTTCTGACTCTGTTGGCAGACTGAATTTTTTTTGATATATTTTTGTCGTATGCGTATCTTTTTCAGTATAAAACTGTTCCCAGGAATTACGATACCATATACCACAGAATAACATGCCAAGGATCCAGAGTGTTAGCGTTAGGTTACAAGAAGATTGGAGAGGTGCCAGCGAAAGAGGTATAGTAGAATTAAATGCGCATGCCTGACTACCCCCTCTTTTTGATTTAGTTATAGTCGAAGGAAAAGCCAGCCACGTGAACAAGCGTGCAAAAGCCAGTCAGCTTCAACGTAGCTAGGGTAGTTTGACATAGTTCAGGTCTTTCGTATTTCACATTTCATTGTGATGAAGATGGGTGATATGGTATCCCCTTCAAGCTGCGAGCTGTTTTGACGGCGCAGCGCTCATGATAAAGCACGTTTGCGGGTTCAAGATCATGCATCAGTTTTCCTACTTCTTCGACTCTAAAGCGCCCCATTATCACTGGAATTTCAAAAGCTTGACAAGAAACAGATTTGGCATTTTTACTGGCCGCCAAGAAAAAGTCACACTATCGTGGAAAACAGGCTTCTGCAAGGAAGGCTTATTTGCGGGCCAGGGTTCAAAGAAAGGCGTTTCCCCTCACCCACCCATCCTCCCCTGCCCACTTACTTCTTTTAAGCCTTGTCTTTCTCCAAACCCTCTTCTTAATCGCATTTAAATATAAGGCACTGGGCGCTAATAGAATTGACTGATCATTAGTTCTAGTGTAGAGCATTGGTCAAGAGTACTCGGTCGTTTTATAGAGTTTTTGTTAATAGTCCTACCTGTCATTTTCCTTATCAGATCCGTGATATGAAGCGTGAAGAGTGTGAGTGTGATCTGCAGTTTGCGGGATTCGTGGTAATCGCGTGTCCTTTAAAGAGCGATTCTAAAGCAGCTATCAAGCAGATTCAAGAATCATCACATCACGTAAGTATTGGTGCCGCTCAAACAGCAACCTCGAGCAAAGAGGAAACTGTTACCCTGTTATTTTTACCCTTTAGAGCTATGAAAATACATTTTTGAATAGTATTTCTTTTTTTCCTAATCTTTTTTTTTATTTACATAGCTGACTATGATTACTGGAGATAACCCGCTGACCGCATGTCACGTGGCTCGAGAGCTTCGCCTTACTAGGCGCGAAATTGTGGTTCTATCACCTCCTGAAAGCACAAATAATCACGGTAATGTCTTATACTGTGACTATTCCTAAAGGCATAAAGAACGCTTGTTCTCTACTCTTTAAAACAAACGCTTGTAACGTGTAGTGTGGTAAGAAAGTGTTGCAAACAGCGAAAATGGTACTAGGACATAACCCAGCTGTCTTGAGTTCCTGTAAAAAATTGAAAAATCTTTTGCCAGGGCAATGGAAAGCGGGAGTAAACATGTAGCTGATGACTGTAGCACGTTACAAAATTGTGACTGTCTGGAAAGCATTTGACCTCAGTACAGTAAGCGCGGGAAATAGTTTGATGGACTGCATTCAGCAAGCGCGCGAAAAACACGACACTATTTAACTGTAAGCGCGGTAAAAGCTTGAGACTAACTGAAAGCGCGGGAAAATAGGCGAAGAAAATCGCCTTGTGCTTGCAGAAATTATGTTAATTCTGTTGTATTTTGTATTAAAGACAAAAGCGTGAATTTTGTTTTCTGAAGAAACCAGCCATATATCAATAGGTGCGATACTGTCAGTCGTAGAATTATCGTAGTAAAAAGCCAATTTTCACATCGACTAATCTACAAAGCAACAAGAGCATGGTTATAATTTTGTGAGTAATAACTTTTCCCCATTCTCCTTTTTACAGTGGAAAGCGAGTGGCACTGGCAGCCAGTGGATCGCTCATTCAGTCTCCCCATCATCCCTGCTGGTGGTATTAAGGAACTGACTTCCAAATTTGACTTGTGTGTTACTGGAGAGGTAGCGAACATCATTTTGAATGCCTTTGTTTATAATGCAGTTTCAAAGTCTCTTCTCTTTTTCGTTGCTTCGCTACACATCATCATTTCGCGGTATTATTATATGAGGAAGTACTTTTTGTGGTTTGAGGACAGTTAGAAAATGTCATAACACCCATAGCCCTGCCATCAACCTCTTAATTACCAGCCAGTGATCTTTGTCTGAAGCTTTACGCTAACATTCAGTCCTGAGTTCCCAGCTAGGAATTTCCAGCTAGAGGATATAAGTAATCAGAAGACGTGTGTAGCCATAGCACAAGCAAAGTTTATGCGAAAAATTCAGTGTCCATTCATTTACGTTTTAGAACACTGCCTAAAGGGTTTTGCTGTATGCAGCTGCGGTGAACAGTGCATCCTAAAAATATTGAGTAGTTTTTGTGTCCGTTGCTCAGGCATTTAATGTTGAAGGGTAATTATTGACGCCAAGTTTGTAATTTAATTTGCAGGCATTTTCCTACCTACAATCGACTGAGAAATTATCCAAGTTTTTTCACTCCATCATTCAAAACGTTCAGGTTTTCGCACGAGTGGCTCCCAAACAAAAGGTATAGTAGATATCTCAAGTTTTTTTCCAGAGTCTTGGCTACTACACCCTGTAAGTCTGTTTGTTAGTAATTTGGAAATGGCTTTCATGTGAATATCTCTGGCCCTTGTTCTTTGTTTTCATAACAGGAACTGGTAATCACCAAACTCAAGAGCAAAGGTTTTGTCACATTAATGTGCGGTGACGGTACAAATGACGTAGGAGCACTCAAACATGCGCACTGTGGTAAGACTTCATATATGCTTAGTTTTACTGTAAAGGATGGAGTGTTCCACATAGCAAGTCCTGCTTGTTGGAAAAGTATCAAATGCTATCTACTTGATAAATTGCTTTTTCCTTGGATTGACCAACTACTTTTTTTGATCTCCCAACATGATTGCGGTTTTTCGAGTGGACGAGGGCTCCCCATCCACCTTTTATGAAAACTCATCAACTTCTAACCATGTCCCGAGGGAGTTAGACTCACACGTCATGTGCCCTGAAACCTCGGGAAAATTATGTTCCAGTCTCCCCAAGATTCTAAGTTTTTTCGCAGTCCGTGTTTTACCTGAGGGTGGAAGGGGGGGGGGGGGGGGGGGGGGTGGGTCCCGGGGAAACACAACCCCATTTTTCCCTGTGGATTAATCACCCCCGTTCCCCCTTTCCCTACTTTTTTTCCCTTTTTTTTACGCCGGTTTTGTAAGGGGGGTGTGTCATGATTGCTGAGACAAACAANGATAACAGCAAAAAAAGCAGCCAGAAATCCAAAGATGAAAAAGCTTCAACATCGGTGAGACCAACTTAAAACTTTTGCTGACCATGTCATGTCTTCATGGCCAGTGTTATCTCACAAAGTTTGTTTAATCTGCACAAATATAACTTCTGATTGGCTATATTGATCAATGGATAGCACATGTGATCTTGAAATATTAATAGATTTACTTGTTGAAATTAACTTAAGTTCTCATAACTGCAAAGAAAGTATGGTGATTTTTACTATTTATCGTCGATTTGTGATCAAAAGTGTCTGTCGTCACATGCTATAAAAGAACTTTATGTAAAATTGTTAAGAGAGATACGTTTGAAGTGCTCAGAGCTACTTAAAATTGTCGAAATTTTAAGGTGGTGTTTCCGTAGCCTGCGTAGCAGGCGCTTGGAAGTAGTGGGCACAAGAAACAACGGGCGCGCGAGAAGAAGACACGCGCGAGGGTAAAGGGAGCTCCCTCACCCCTCGCGTGTCTCCCTCGTGCGCGCTCGTTCTTTCTTTCGCCCACTACTTCCAAGCGCCTGCTACGCAGGCTAGTTTTTCCGTTTATCTTCTACAAGAAATTATATCCTGTTCCAGAATGGACAGTTGTCGTTACTGGGTTTTCTTTTCTTTCGCCAGCAGACAGACGACAAGGGTAAGAATGATTCAATCAAAATAGTATCCAGGGGAAGTATCCCCCCTGCTTCTGGTAAAGGATCCTCACGTGCAGCTAAGATGCGCGCTATGGCCCGGGGGGAGGACACTGCCTCCTCCTTAAAACAAGAGCAACAGGTTAGATGATATGATTATTTTTTACCACGCTAAATAGAACTTAACCAAAGTTAGAATGAATCTAATGCAGTCCAGCGGAATAAAGATACGAGGGAGGTCCAGGGAAAGTGCCATCAGCTTTTGCTTTGTTTTGCTTTGTGCTTTTGGTTGCCAGCAGTGCTATATTTCGTTATAAGGTATTTTTCATCTATTTTTCAAAACCTTTTTGCGATAGATTTATCTGGTGATTGACTAAAACCTCTCGTGTCACTTTCCCATCCAATGAGAAGCTGGACCAGTAGATGTGACTTGTGCGCTTGCGTTTCCCCGCTTTTGGCGGGTTATCTTATCTGGATATCGGAAGACAAAAGTTACGGCTCTGAGATAAGCCTAGAAATTTTAAAAGTTGCGAAGGCATTAGCGTCTGTTTTCGGGGCAAGCCAAAATGTTTGTGAATATTTGTGCGTTTGCGTTCATGTAGCCTTTGCTGGCTTCAGCAAAACTGCTTTATTTTTCCTTACAACAATGAAAGATAATGTGGGAAAAAATTTGTTTTTGTAGAAAAAAATCCAAGAGATGTTAAAGCAAATGGATGAAATGGATCAACCTCAAGTTGTTCGGCTCGGAGATGCGTCTATCGCTTCACCCTTTACTTCGAAACTGTCCTCTGTTATGGCAGGTATGTTAACAGAACTCAACTGATTATATTTTGAATTCCTCCTGTCTTCTCTGGGGACTATTCAAGATCGATCATTCAGCTTTAAAAGCTGACGACTGTCGCCTGCAGAACAGCACGGCCTCCGCGACCGGCAGGTGATCAAGGGACTTAAATTTGATGCTTTGCTTCTCGCTCAAACGATTTCGTGAATAACTGTTGTATCTGGTTTTTACTAATTGTGGTCGGGACGAGCGAAACGAAAAGCGGGAAAGGAACTAAAAATAGACAGAGGGGCGTCCTCTGAACTTTTTTTCCCTCGATCGCTTTAACCTTTCGCTGGCTCCGACTGATTAAGAGCCTGAAACATGCTATACTGATGTAATTCTTGGATTTGTTTGTTTTCAGTTTGTCACATCGTAAAGCAGGGTCGGTGTACCTTGGTCACAACTCTACAAATGTTCAAGATTTTGGCGTTAAACGCCTTGGTGCTCGCCTACAGTCAAAGCGTGCTTTACTTAGATGGAATCAAGTTTAGTGATGGGTTAGTTAAAATTATATCTTCCTTGTTATTTTCACACTTAACTTTGACATTAGCGTGCTAGTTGTTAAGGCGGATCAATAAGCAGGGCTCAAAGTTTAAATTTGAGTTTGGGAGCACTTGTGCCACCAGATGTAAATTTTTAGGCGCACTGCCGAAATTTTAGGCGCACAGCTGAAAATTTTAGGAGCACAGCTTATATTGTTGGGAGCATCTATTTCAAAAGAAAAAGTAAAAAGCTTAACAGTGCCCCGTTTATTTGTCATCTTCAGTTTGTTACTTTTACTTCACTCCTGTGATTGATAAAACACAGCCAATTTGCTACACAGTAATACCGTTGTGATTTTTAATACTAATTTCTCTCTTTGGCAGTACAGTTATGACTAAAGAAAACTTACACTTCAAAAACCATTCAAAACTGACAATAATGAGTGTGTCGAACGAGAATGAAAATTAATCTTTAATGAATTTGTTAAATGCGCAATGACTTACATGTAACTGGAATACGACTTAAAAAACTTTCTTACCTGGAAAAAAAAGGCTCTTTATCAGCGCTGTTTTTGTTTTGATTGACGTTAAAACTGAACGTTCGACATGATCGTCCATTGCGCAAAAAGTACGTGTTTCGTTCGTAGCATATATTTGCATGTGTCAGCGGTGTTTATTACAAAACAGAAGAGTCTGGGATGGAGTAAAACATCGAAACGAAAAAGAACATTCGAGTTCCTAGAATCCATTGGAAGAAAAGACCAATTAAACATACACCGTCTTTCTAGTTCGAGTTTGTAAGTATAGTCGGAAGTAAGTCAGTCCCACTGTGCTTTGGGTTTTACGGCGCACAGGTGCGATTACACATGAATTTTTAGGCGCACAACCAAAAATCCAGTCGCATATGCGACCAGTTAGTCGCTAACTTTGAGCCCTGATAAGTCATTTAGTTCTTGCCAGTAGCCAGATTTCTTGACGTAAGATTTGTCCCTTTAATTAGACAATTGGAAAGGAAACTCCCATTCTTTCGTCTTGTCGTTAAGTTAAAGACAGTTAGATATGTTAATCGTGGAGAGGGGGCAAGGTGGCCAAGGAAAACGGCTAAAGTTAAACAGTTTATATACAGATCTGGCGCGAGATCGAATGCAGAGATAACACCGTATCTGCTAGTGGGAAAGATTTGCTCAAATTTTGAGTGTAATTGGCTGTACTTCTTTTACAGTCAAGCAACGCTTCAAGGCATTCTTTTAGCTGGCTGCTTTTTGTTCATATCAAGGTCCAAGGTAAGACTATACCGCAAGCACAGGCCGCTTTTTCTCGATAAGTACTTTTGCACACCAATATACATTGCAGCCTCTGCTCGCAAAGAAACGAACGACCAGTAATGCCAATGACAATGACTATAGTAACGAAAATGACAAAAAAGCTTAAAGTGTTAAGGTGGCCTCATGGCCTTATTCCAATGCTGATACCTGGTTGTGGTGTCAAAAGTCATTGCAAGATTATCTACAGAAGATTAGATTGAATGTAGAGAGAACTATGAATGTAAAAAAAAATATTGCTGTTAAAGAGGAAACTCAGGCTTGCCGAGATTCGAATATTCTGATCTCTGGGATACTGTTGCAGCGCTCAAACCAATTGAGCTTGCAAGCCAACTGGAAGCTGGTCATCATATTGGCTCGTAATATACCCGCAATTATATGAATTTCATTTATTGGAACCTCGAAATGAAGAAAAAAACTGTTGCAAAAGATTAGCGAGGACTTCAAGGAAGATCCTTTTGTCCTAAGACCTCAGTTAACATTTGCAATTTGGTTTTGTTTCCTTTTTCAGCCTCTTACGAATCTATCCAAGCGTCGTCCACTACCGAATATATTTAACTTGTATACGATAATAACCGTCCTCTGTCAGTTTGCTGTTCATTTCTGGGCTCTGATTTATATGGTACGGCAAGCAAAACGACTGACGCCTGGCATGTAAGTACAGGCTTTGTAAATACTTAAGCCCTTACCTGGAATGTATCTAAAAGCAAAATTTGAAAAAACAAAACACCCGCTTTACGCATCGAGTTTTTAAACCTGATAATACAAGACTGCTAGTTTTTATAACGGCTTCAAAATCTCTGACATAGATCAACTCGTTCTTGCACTTATATTTAGATTTGGGGTTATTTTGGTCCAAAAAATTTGGACGGAAAGTTTAGTCTTTATCAGATACAAAGACACTTACAAAACATTATTTTCTTTTGTTTTTTCTTTATGAATTATTAATTAGCTTTTGAAGTCGATTAAGAGCAGATAAGTTAGACAGCGGCATGTTAATGTCGTGTCGTAAGCGTTCTTAGCCGAAGACCACTTACTTTTGTTTTTTTGCCTTTAGATAATAATCAAACAGCGAAGGGCATATGCCTTCTTTCAGACAAATTTGATGTTATTTAAAGTGAATGTATTGGATTCCCCCCCCCCCCCCCCCCTTCCCTCCTTTTAAAAATGTTAAAATACCCCCCCTCCCTAATCTTATTTAACCCCCCCTCCTTCCAAAAAAAAAAAGGAGAGAGGAGGAGTGGTGGTATTTTTGAGGGTTTGTTTTACCACTCTCACCTCCATTGAATGGTTGGCTGTAAGGGTGTTGAGAGAAAACGCATAGCTGTTTTTTTCTTCCATTTAAACAAAAAGTTAAAAGCAACAGTGGATTTCCCTTTCTTCCGTATCTAAGTGGTTTATTGTTTGGTAGTTTGTGCATTGCCCCCCCCCCCCCCCCCTGTGTACACTTGGTACAAGTGTTCAAGTACTCCACTTGCAAGTACATGTATCACACGTCCTTGCCAAGCAAAGTAGAGTGAAGTGGAGTACTTGGTGTACTTGTGGAGTTCATGTATCACACGTCCTTGCCAAGCAAAGTGGAAACCTGGCTTAACTGAAACTATGCGGAATTACTGGATATAAGTCTTGGAAAAAGAAAACCTATAACAAAAATGTCGTGTACAGCTTCAGAAATATAACTTTTATGGTAATTTCCTATGGCTGGTATTTGTTGTAGTTATTTTTGGTGTTTCTGTTGCAGGGAAGCCCAACATGTAGACTTAGAAGCAAAGTTTCAGCCCACCATTGTTAACAGTACTGTTTACATTGTATCTATTGCCATGCAACTGGCAACCTTTGCTATTAACTACAAGGTAAGGAAACCAGATCTCAAGCGTTTATCGGTTGTAAATTTCTTGATTGCTTCGGTTTTACAGTGCTCTGTTATCTGCTTGACTGCAAAATCCTGGCCAATTTCTCACCAATCAAAACCATCCTGTTAGCGCTGGTTTCCCATGCTCGGCGTTGCCTCATGAATATGCTTCCAGGCGTGCTCGAAATAGAAAAATTTGGAAAGACACTGAACAGTATCCACAGCCCACCTACCCGTCCCCTAAGCCAACATCAAGACTTACTTCTCACTTAGGGCAAAATGTTGACTTAGGGGAGGGGTAGGTGGGCAGTTTCCTAGAAACGTATCCCAATTAGGCTTTTGTACATTATGCTTTTGCTTCCCTACTAAAATGCTCCACCTTAATGCTTCATTCTTCCCACTAAAATGCTTGGTCTCCCCCAAAAAGTCACTAAAATGTTCGGATAATGCTCATTATACAAACGGGTTTTTTTTAAAATTAATTTCAAAGTTTACACTTACAAAAACGTGCAAGTGTTCCAAGTAACAACGACAACGTATAAATACAGCCAAAAAAAACCAGCTGTATTAGGTTTTTGGTGAATTTTGAGTTTTAGTCTTCATTTTGTTTAAAAAAGCAGGAGCTCAAGGGGCATGGGCTCCTGAAAAAAGTTAATTTCTATTTTATTTTCTCGAAAAAATTAATTTCCCGGGTAAAATGCCACTAAAATGCTCGAATAATGCCCAATGCTTTTGCCTCACTAAAATGCTCGAAAAAATGCTAGCATAATGTACAAAAGCCTAATCCCAATTGTTTCCGCAACACCAAGAAATGCCCTTCTTTGCTCAGAGCCTCGAACGGCGAGCGAAAAGTAAAACTATGCAAATCAACAGCCTTTCGCCCTCGTTCGTCGCTGCTTCGCCACTCGCCCCTTGCGCATGCTCTCTATCTATTGTGTCAAAAAAAGAGTAAGAGACCAGTCGCGGTCAATGAACACTGGGGGAACTGGAATTGGTCGTGTACCACAGGACCATCCATTTACATGCGATTACCACTAAGTAATTCTACTAAGTAATTCTACTGGGATTTGTGCACAGGGTCACCCTTTTATGGAGAGTCTGCTGGATAACAAGGCGCTGTTGTACAGCTTGCTAGCCTCTGGTGGATTTGTTGTTTGTATGGTGACAGGTTCTGTTCCTGAAATCAACCAACAGTTTGAAATCGTCACATTTCCACCAAAGGTAATACCTTTACCTACACGCATGCGTAGGGACTAAACAAATTTATCTGTAAAGCCAAATACATTTTATATTGAGGGCTTTTTTTTAAATCCTATTCTTCAAAAGTACGTTTTTTAACGTGATTTGCCGCTTCTCTTTAAGATAATTTGTAGCAGCAAGAAAGGGAATTTAAAAAAGCGAGTAAAGAAAGCGAGAAACAAACTAAACTTGCTACAAAATGACCTCACGAGTTTCTTAGCACGGCGAGCTCTTTCGGCCGCGAAGCGGCCGAGCGAGCGGCAAAGTCGTCAGAGGTCGTCTTGTTGCGCTTGAAGGGTTCCCATTTGCGTCCCGCGCCATATTAAATCGTACGAAGGACTTTTTGAAAGTCTAAAAACTGTCTCGCGCGGCCCATTAGCTTTCACATAATTTCATTCTTGAGTCGGTGTTTTTAAGGGCTGTAACAGGTCTGTGACTTCTTTCACTGGTGATATTAGTTGTGTTATTCTGCTAAGAGGTTTCGATTTATCAATAAATATTTGAGAAGTAACTCGTTTTGCTTTCATTTCGTTCTAGTTCCGTGAAATATTCATGCAAGTTCTATTAGCCGATTTTGTAACAGTCTTTGTCATGGACAGAGTATTGGATTTTCTTCTTGGCAGCGCCAAGCTACGACAGCATTAGCAGGATAACAGATATGTGTTCGCGGCCATTAAATAAGGCATTTTTCAGCTGGGAGATTTTTTTTCAACTCAAGTATTGGTTGAAGTTAAGGTCAACGATAAGAAACGCGGACTGTTTCCGAAGGCAACGTAATGTCCCCAGAGGGTTCGAGGATATTATCATCAAGTTGCAGAAATTATGTTATTGACTTTTTTCGTAATATCTGCATTGTGTGGAAAATGGTTTTGCGAACATCGTCAAAAGTTGATTTAAGCATTAATTTTTAAAAAATGAATGTAACACAACAAGACTGGAAGTGCAGGAAAGGCCTTGTTTTAACCAGAAAAAATGCTTGTTGTTTGTTGGGACACAAACATATATCAGTTAAATTTATTTTTTTTTCAAAACCAAAGCCATACTGTAAAACGTGTTTTTCGTTCAACAAGCAAACTCTGGATCACGTATTTAAAATAATACAAAGAAGAGGCACTCAAAAATTCGAGTTTCGCATGTACAGAATTTGCTCGCCAGATATTCTAAATGCGCTCATCGATACAATTTAATGTAATATAATTATTAAGATTAAACAACTTCATTAATTCTTCTACTATCAAACTTCCATCACTTTGAGATCTTGACGAGGTTTAAAAACTTTGATTTCAGAACAGTGTTATTAAATTTATCAGAACAGTTAGGTCCGTGTACTGTGGTAAACTCATCGGGCAGGGTCATATTATCTGTGAGATATTTATTTCCTAAAACAACAGTAAGACTACTCGAGGACTTTGAATAAATGATTCATCTCAAATTCTTTCTTGGTGATTTTTTCTTTTCTCTCTCTATCTGTCTGCTAAAAAGAAAGGCAACCTGCAAGAATACTAGCATTGATCGAGTGCAGAGTGAGGTAGCCCTAGGGCCAGAGATTTTTCATGTGCGCTTTCCGTTTTCAGAGGTTTTCTCTATACTTAACTCCTTTAAGCTTTTTGCTCTTTGTGAATTTATCATGCAACTGCAGTCGTGTATAAAAGAAATCTCTACACAATTTTTTGAAGTCGTTTTCTGACCTTTAATATTTTCCTGGTTTACTGGCAACATTTCGGCCTGTCAAACGCGAACATTTTGCGTCATTTTTGCCCCGTCATAATTGGCGATATTTGAAAGAGCAACTCTTTGACTTCTGGTCATTTGCGTTCCCCTCGTGATGATTTTATTCAGATACTCATTACCACATCATTAATGTTACAATAATTAGCAGATGTCGTGACATCATACAAACTTGTGCACTGTTGCAGAACAAAAGTTATAATCTGTTAGAACAAAAGGGTTGCTTGGTGACCAAGTAAATTTTATCCTGAAGTAATCCGCGTTGTAAAGAACGTGACTTTTGCAAAACTCTTCCAACTTTTAATTACATTTAGATTTTGAAAAGGTGCGTCCATAGAGAACGTCATTCACGTATTTTACGCTTTGATTACACTTTCCTTTTAAATGAGCAATGCGTTTGTTCCCGTGAAAAGACGAAGCGGCTGTTTCTCTGTGACAGAACTCGTTGCTCCTTTCAATGCCACGGCATGTTTCTTGACTAATCTCTTCTTTGAGAAGTAAACACGAGGATTTGAACACTTCAAAATGGGTGCCATTGTTTCTCATCGAAAAGAAGCTCGAAGAATAACAAGGGTGGAACAGAAAGCAATGTAAGTTTTATTTCATTTAACACGTATTTGATTGTGTACTGACATGTACCTAGTTTGCATATTTACAAACTATAAAGTGACACACAGCGAGACTGTTATGTATACATTTAAGAACTTCCACAGTGAGACAGAACATTTCAGTTAGTAAGTTGTACCTCATTTATTCTTTTAAATTCATGACAGAGCGGTCAATGCTTTTTCTACAACCATAAAAACAGATGAACAGTCAAAAGAAGAGGAGAAAGGTATAGGCAAGTCTTAACAGTACTAGACAAAGCGATCTATTCATAAAATCCCCAATTGTGTTTGCGTAAAACGTGTAAGAGATTAGCCCTGTTTGATAATCCTGGGTTTTCAGGCCAATATGTCAGTTTATGTTTGCGACAATCATGTAAACAACGACTTAAATTGGAGTGTCCAAACTGGATTCTTGTGAATCTATCTGTTGATTGATAAATAGAGGCTTCAAATTTTCTTGCAAATTGTCCAGCAATTTTTCCTGGGGTTAATGTCACTATCTGCTCTTTGAAAACCCCATGAAAAGTCACGCAACTAAATAGCACATGTAGTCAAAATAAACAAACAACAGGATAGTGTAATAAGAACGACCACAACCCTGTGGCAGGTTAAACTAGCAACGTCGGGTTATGCCACAAATGAAACAAAGCCTCACGTGGGAGAGCATTAGACAGGCACGCAATAGATTAAGATACTTTTAGCCAAGAAAGGCTTCTGTTAATAGCTATAACAATAGAGTTCATTCATAGAATGAATCACAAAATTACAGAAAACAATCAAGATTTAATGTCGGGCAGACTTACTCAGCCTACCCCTTAGGCATTCTGTTCCGTTATTAATTGCATTAACTATGTGTTAAATGTGTTAAATATATGGTGAGATAAGTGTTTTATTCACATAATTTTGTAGCTGCAACACCTGTCCAGCAGCCAGCACATGAAGGAAGCCCTGCAACAGCTCGGAGCAGAACTCCAAGCATTGCTGTGGCATCTTGGGGTGAAGGGATTGTTGGCACATCATCACATGCCCTTCATAGTAAGGGTGTGGTATCATCAAGGGGTGTACAACATGAGGTCAAATCAAGCAAGGACATGTACCCTATGCAGAAGCCCAAAACACCTGATCCAAACAAGAACAGTGAACTTGATACAAGTTTCGCAAGAGTCCGTCCAATAACACCACAATCAAGGACAGAAAAAGCAGCTGTTACCATTCAAAGGTACACCATATATTCCTAATCAAACCCAGTCCACTCAACTCTTAGCGGGTAGCATTTGTGAGTTAACTATTCTCTCTATAGCGGGGGGTGGGGGGGATCTGAAGGGAAGTTTTTGGGTCACAGAATTTAGTTTTAGCGGGATATGATTAAACTGCAAAACATTTTTGGAATTAAAATGGCTAATCAATAACGCATTAAATTTTGCTTCTATTCATTCTTATTACAGGGAAAATATGTTGTTAACAAAATCATGCCATCAAATCTGTTGTAGGCCATTAGTGTTATTTAAATATTCTGGCTTTAATTCTCATTTAAAGACATACTTCCAGTAAGGAAAAGATAGCACTCATCGCACAACATAGAAAAGTTAACGTACAAGTGTAACATTATGATGTTGGTTTAATTATGTAAGTCTGATTCTGTTATAGACATATCAGAGGGTATCAGTCCAGGAAGCGTCTTGAACAAGAGCAACAGTCAGCTAAAATTATTCAACGGTATTATTTTGCTTTTCTACATACAGTATCTCAACAATAGAATAATACTTTACTCTCGTTTTAATTGATTTAGGGCATTTATAGACGAATAGTTTCAGTTCTAAAGCATAATGAGATTAATTGCAGCAAGCTGAGGACATAGCCCAAAGAATTCCAACTTAAACAAAGCTAGGAATGAGTAGGGATCTAATCCAAATTATTCATCTTCTTTGTGGAAAGGCGGGGCGGGGAGAGTATCAGCCTCAGCACAGGGTGTATCTGGACATGAAAAAAAGATTCTTATCTTCATCATTCCTTAAAGAATTAACAGCGAGTATAAGTAAAAAAATCAAAGCACTTTCCCTTAGGTGATCCTTGATGTTGTTATACAGTACACTCTCTCGCTCATTGGTTACTTCGAAGTCACACAACATCTTACAATGAAACTGTTTCCTAGCAAAGTCTCTGAGTAGGCAACATTGCAAAATCTATGATGCCAGAGGGTAATAGTGCACTGTTACCCGTGAATGTTGACCAATGACCATCGTAACTACAGCAAGGATTAATGAATTTTCAGCTTCAAAATTTCCAGCTACATACATGTAACAAATCGCTTACGATTTCTTAATTCACATTAATTTTTGTTTCCCTAGCTTAAATCTCAATGTTTCCCCTTGGTGAGAAACAAAATTAATATTATTGTTTCCTGGGGAACCAGTCATTAAGTGTTTATTGTTAGGAGCAAATTGGTGTTTCCTCTTAGGAGTTAAAAATCATTTGAATTGTACACCTGTACATTACAACCGTTACTACATTGTTAGCATTACTTTAATTCTAGGAGATACCGAAAGTACCAGAATACTAAAGAAAAGAGAGATGACCTTACTCAGCCTTCAGAAACCATAAAAGAAAATGATAATGATGGTGATAGTAGTGAGAATGATGAGGACACAAAAAGAAAACAAGAATACAGAAAGCCTTGGAGAGAATCGACTGTTGCTGCACCTGTTATTGACACAGATGTCAAGATTGGTGAAGATTTTTTTCCTAACATAATAATTCAGGCTGCCGACTTTACCATAATTAAACTTTTTGATATGTTATTATTATAAGTAGCTACTAAAATCTCATAAATCTAACCAATCTCTAGGTTGCTATTAGAATGCACTGCACACAAGCAGCCAGCATTCATTTAGACTTCCACTAAGAATGAATAGAATGCAAAGAACGAAATCGGATCAGGTGCATCTGAACTTTCTATCACTTGTAATCTCATCACGCATTTTTCCACCTTCTATCGTATGAAACTTATGCAAAGCACGGAGTTGGAGCAAGAACATTATTTTTTACCTTTGATTGACCTTGCCTGCACTCCCTAGTATACAGCTTGTAGGCCTGTACTGTGTGGAACAATACTAGATATGGTCATATTGCATAAAGCGTAGTTATTGTTTGTTTTTAGTTTTTTGGGGTCATAAAGGAGTCATAAGGAGACAAAAGCTTGTGTTGCCTTTGTTTTGAAAACTTAAATTTGTCTTTGTACAATTATTGTACAGTGACAAATTTAGGTTTTCAACTTATTTAGCTTTTTACTTTTATTTTAGACTTGTGCACTGAGCAAAATTTGCCATCAACCAATTTCTGTACTCATTTTACAGGTGACAAAACAAAAGAAAGCTTTGATATGTATCAAGAAGATATCACAGACTTGAAATGGAAAACAGAGCAACAGGTACAAGCAGACTTTTTTAACAGGATGACATCAAAGAATTGTTAGAATCTGATGATATTATCTTAACATTAACCTAGTGAACGTCAGTTGCTATTCTCCATACGTTGTGTTTTCTTGATTTTCAGTTGGAAATGACAACCATGGGAGACAACTATGTTCCTCCTAGAATAGTGGTAGGTTGACATTGGCACTGTTTTTATCATCATCATGAGACATCATCATCATTATTATTATTGTTGTTATTACTTAGTTAATTATTTAATTCTACACCATGCATATTTATAATTTGTGTCAAGAAAACTGAGAATCACTGTTTCCTCCTTAGCCAGTGAGAGCAGACGTCTTTTTTGGACAAAAAAAGAACCGAAAGAGAGTCTGTCTGCTCTTGCAGGCTACTTCCTTCTGCAGCGAGCATCCCTAGTAAGCATTGACAGTATATATAAGTTATGAAGTCACAATTTTTGTACTAAACGTTTTACATTGTTACACTACCACTGCTTTTCCACAAATTATTGTACATGCAACTAATTCTAATTATTATTAAAAATACATATACACTGTAAGTTAATTACAGTTAATTTTAAAGGCGATGGCAATAATGACTAGCTGACTATCATTATTTTGTTAATTCTTTGTCTGGAACCACCATATATACAAGGCGGCCATGTTGGGGGTCAATACAAAAGAATTTTTTCTCGAA